TGTGTTATGTACATGTTCCAACTCCACAAAAGGCATGTAAACATTATGCACTACATAAATGTACTGCACCAGGGGTACAGCTCAGTGGCACAGCATCTGCCCGGCAAGCACGAGGTCCTGAGTTTGAGTCTGAGTAAAAAACAAACAAACAAACAAAAAAACCCAAAAAAACAAATGGACTAATAAAAATGTAAATCTAAAACAAAAGGGTTTATTAAAAGTGAAAAAATAAGAAAAAGTCAGATATCAAGGTAAACTTGATATGCTAAGTATCTTGATAGGTATCAAGATAAAGTTGGCCTTAGGCAAGATGATTAATCCTAATGACTAGATGACCATTATACAAATTTCCTTACTTTTTGGTTTTTTTAGGTTTTTTTTGTTTTTGTTTTTTGAGACTGGGTCTTGCTGAATTGCCAAGTTGCCCAGGCTGGCTTCAAACTCAAGATCTTTTTGTCTCAACCTCCCAAGTGCTGGGATCACTGGTAACTGTTTTAGGTATGATTTGCCTGTTTTGCCTTTCTTGTGCACCATGCTTGCTAATTCCATAGTTGTGACTTTTATTTTCTCTTTCCTAGAATGCCGTGAATAAAACCTACCTGTCTAGTTTTCTCTTGCTATAGCCATCAATTACTCCTAAATAACAAATCAGTAAATGTTAATGAGTTTGAATGGTGTACCCACATTTAGGGATAACTTAATGAAGTAATAATTTGAACCCTTGGTTTACTTGGATCCTGGACATCTCTGCTTTCATTAAGTCACTCACTCATTTAGTTGTCTCTGGGCTAGTTATCTATCATTAAAAAAGAGAAAAAGAAACAGGAAAAAGAACACACAAAATGTATTACATGCCTAAGGCATGGGACCATTAGATTTCCTAGTCAATGATTTTAGTGATGATCCGGAAGACACTTTTTCATATGTGTGGATAATTAGCCAGAAGTGTAGAAAAACCACTGAATGACAGGATCATCAACCAAAGGATTTCAGTGGGGTGGAAAGATGCATAATGATAGTGTGTATGAGCCAGACGTGTGGCACACGCCTGCAACACCAGCCTCTCAGTAGGCTGAGCCGGGAGGATCACAAGTTCGAACTCAACCTCGGCAACTTAGTGACACCCTGTCTCAAAATACAAAGTAAAAAGGGGCTGGGAATGTAGCTCAGTGGCAGAGCATCCCTGGGTTCAATCCCCAGTACTGCAAAAAACAAAACAAAGTATATGAGGGTCTGCAATGAGTCAACAGTGTACCTACAAAAGGGAACATGGAAGTGTTTTTGTGCAAAAGCTTAAAGGGCCATAACCAGGGCTATTTCGTAAACCATTCTGTAAATGTCCCAGGCATGAAGGTGTTACAGGGGAGGCCCAGGATGCAGTGAAAGAGGTGCAGAAGCTCTGTTGTGGTCCCTAGAAATACAGGGAGGAGCAAAACCCCAGCACTTGGCTTCCGAAACCATCCAGAACCCTGAATAAATCAAAAGATCTTATATGGGCAGAAGCGGTGGTGCGGGCCTGCAGTGCCAGCTACTTGGAAGCCTGAGTTAAACCCAGGAGTTCAGAAGCAGGCTGGGCAACACAGCAAGATTCCATGTTAAAAACAAAACAAAAACAGAGATCTTATAAACAACAGCAGTACCAAGCTAGGCAAAGGAGAAAATAGCCAGAATAGTTCTGCAGCAGGAACAAAAAAAGTGAGGATGCCCCGGGCCTGTGGCCCCTGCACAGTGCCATGAGATGTGTGGGGCGCTGCCTTCATCCCTCCGCTCTCCTGGCCCAGCTCTCAGAGGGGGCTTTCCCTGTGACCCCACCCGACTCCATCCTGCCCCAGACAGGGATTTCCATCTCGACTTCTTTCCCCTCCTTGCTCAACTAATGCAACTCACAAAAGAAGCCCGAGGCCTTCCCAGTGCTTTTCTCTATCTTTAGAAGGAAACTGAGTATCTCACCTGCAGGGCGTCTGATAAGCTGCCCGCTTCCTTCCAAGGAAGCTGGAAGGAATTTCTATAACATGTCGTTAGAACAACCACCAAAGGGGCAGGGATGAGGAGCCTGGAGGGAAGGTGCCAGGGCACAGGTGGTTTCTAGGTACAGGTAGTGAATACATTTTCCTGCCGAGGTATCTGCACAGAAGAGGTTATAAAGAAAATCCAGATATTGGCTGAGTGGATGGGTCGGATAATAACTTTCTCTTCCTTCTCCTTCTCCTTTTTGGTGGTAGGGCTAGAACCTAGACTCTCATACATTCGAGGCAGTACCACTGAGTTACAGTTGTTTAAATTCTTTGAAATGGGAACATGTCTAGCCACCAGTCACAGGTTGATATACGCAAGACTTCAGAGCCGCTGGACTGATCAGCTTCTGTCTGATAAAGCTGCAAACGTGCCTGCTTGGTACACCCAGCAGAACTTCCTCCAAGAGATTTGGGAGGGTGTGCTTATTAGACCAAGCGGCTCAAACTGTCCAGAGGATATGTAATGACCCCAAAGGGATTAATAAGATCACCGGGTGCTTGTAACTAACTCATGCTGTGTATGTTCCCTCTCGCTTCAAGCTCCTTAACCCATGTGGGGTGAAACTCCTGACACAACCTCAGCCACTGCAAGCTGAGCAGCTCCACGCTCAGAGCATTGTACGAAGACCTGCCCTGGACTCCCTTTGGTCTCACTGATGCTGTGCCACTTTTACTCAGTCTTGAACATAAAAGCTATTGGCTGTACCAACAGCGTGCCCCTGAACACTGGTGAGAAAGAAACCGCAAGAGAATGTTTGTAGCTGATAACAAGAGAGAGTGTCTGGTTTTGCTAACCAAACAGGAGATGAAATGTTCTTTTGTATGTGAGCAGGAAGCAAGCAGATAGTCACTTCAATAGCCTTTTATACCCACCAGGCGTGCTGAATTTGATCTTTTCCATCAGTATTATCTATAAAACCTCTTTCATGTGTGATTTAGTTTTGAAGAGTCCTATAGCCCATTATGCAAAGGTATTATCTCTTTCAGGGAGAGGAGTGAGAGTTATACCTTTATTCCCCATATTGAAGTTAAAATGAAATCACAAACAAAACCTCAGAAGTGTTTGCAGCGTTGTTTTTTTTTTTTTTTTAGTTCTTTATGAGAATGCTAATGCAACTCATGAAAAAAAAGTTCTGAAGAAATTGCTGGCTATAATGAAATGTCCGTAACTTGTCAAAAAACCATTGGGAATTTGGGAAGGACCCCACCTTTCGCATTATGGATCCCCCATAGATCCATTAGATTTGACTGTGGCTCAACTGACCTTAAATAACTGAGCTGTACATTCTCACTCTTGGTGAGCATCTTAGAGTGGTATTAAGATCCTTTCAAACTGTCCACCAGATGCCTATTCTGGCTTCACACACGCAGTGGGTAGGCACTCTTGGTGAACTCCACACCCCTCTAGTACTGAGCCAAGTCCTGCATTGTTAGGGCCCCTTGTCGTCAGCCTCCGCATAGGGTCTCAAGCCCCCTCCGCCTCAGATCCCAAGCCCTCTGCCAGCAGGGGTGGTGTCTTTCCTTTGGGGTCCCTCTGCCTGTGCTGGAGAAGGTGTGGGAGTGACAAGCAGCCGGGAGGTGAAGCGGAGGGCTCTGTGGGTATGTATGTCCCAGGCTTTCCCTGGCTGAGGACCGGTTGCGAGAAGCAGCTATGGGCTCCCAGCTCTTCCACAGGTGATTGTGTGTTTTGAGTGGAAGAAGGCAAGCTAAAGGCACAGCACAGGAGCCAGGGAGCGTAGGGAGGGATACTGGAGAATACAAAGGGCCGGTCAAGCCCAAAGGTGAGCCCTAACTGCAGAGTCTTGCTTTGCTTCACAGTCACGAGGTGGGGAGGGAATATGGCTCACATGCGAAATCCTTGCTGTCCCCATGCATCGCCTGTGGGGAGGTGCGGGTGGCCACCTCTGAGGCACAGAAATGTGGCAGTTTCAGGTTGCCCAATCTTCCCAGGTGGGGAGGAAGTCCAGTCCTTCCGGAAGAGTCACTGGCCCTTTAGGAGCCATCACAGTCCCTCGTGTCAGGACCTTCTGTCAGGTTCCAGTAGGACTATTTCTCAAACTTGCAGTATTTACACGGACAAGACACCTTCAGCCTTTGAGCTGACAGAGACATAACCGAGGGACGAACGACGTGGAATTAGTGTCATTGCAAATAATCTGCTACCACAAGTGAGCTCCACCTGGTTTCGTTCCAGTAGCAGCAGAAACACTCATCTTAGTAGCGAGCAGCCACCAGAAAGTTTCTTTCTCGAGTATGCAGGAAAGGAAGTTCAAGCACTCGGTTTTTAAAAGTTGCAGGAGCAGTTTCACGCCTCAGCTTTTCAAAGGTATCACGGTGTTATTCCTTGTTTTGCTTCTAGGAAGCACAGGGTTGAGGAAATGACCTGGGCGGGTGCATCGGTGCAGCCGAAAAAGTCACAGACGCCCTCCCCTGGGATCTGAGTCGATCCGCAGTCTTCCCCAAGGTGCCAGGCAAGCGTCCGGTCCCCTCGGACTGTCCTGGTCCAGCGCGCCCTGCGCGGAGGGTCTCTGGCGCCTTCCTAGACGTCTCGGGACAGTCTGGCGGGGCAGCGCGGGAAGACCAGGGAAGGGGAGCGGACGGACTGCGCCTTGCTCTTCGGTGCCAAGGACACCGTCGCGGAGGCGCGGCCAACTTCCTTTGGATCTGACTTCCCACCCGGGGGCCGGCGGTGGAGCTCCAGCCCTGTCCCCTCTCTAGCTTCGGGCGGACCCCGGAGCTGAGTAAGCCGGGCGGAGGGAGCCTGTAAGGATTTCCTGAGCGCTGGGGGCAGGAGGGCGCGGAGCGAGGACTCGGAACCTGTCCGGGCCGCGCTCCCGGCCCCTCACTGCCCGCGCCCCCGAGGCGCAGCCAGCCCCCGCTCCCCGCCCTGGGCGGCCCCCGCCCGGTTCCGGAGCCGCGGGGAAGCGAACCCGGGAGGAAGAAGAGGGTAGGTGGGTAGGCGGATGAGGGGTGGGGGACCCCCTGACGTCACTGGAAGGAGGTGCCGGAGTAGGAAGTGGACCGGGGGAAGGCTATAAATTGCCCCCGCCCTCGGCTCCGCTCCATCGGGGTCCGCGGGAGGCTCGGAGAGGGCCAGGCGGACACTGCTGCGACTCCTCCCCGGCGGCGGCGGCGGCGGCGGCGGCTCGGAGCGGGCTCCGGGCGGCGAGCATTACCCCGGCAAGCGCTGCCTCCTATCTGGAGCCTCGGAGAGAGGGGCTCTCGGGGTGCAGGGCAGGAGCGCAAGAGGATGGCGGGGACCGGGCGAGCAGGCCGCGTCGCGCTCACCATGGTCAGCTGCTGGGACACCGGCGTCCTGCTGTGCGCGCTGCTGGGCAGCCTGCTTCTCCCAGGTGAGGCGGGGCCGCGGCCGGGCTGCGCCGCGCGGCGCCGG